TCTGTGATGACCTAGAGGGGTGAGCTGGGGGGTAGGAGGGAGGCTCAAGCAGGAGGTGATACACACATGTAGCTGATTCACGTTGTACAGCAGAAACAAACATAAGATTGTAGAGGAATTCTACTCCAGTTTAAAAAAAAAGAAAGAAAAATATTACAGCAGAGACAGGAAAAAATAAGCTTCTGGGAGAAGAGGAGCTATGAGTAATCTAGACTTGGACACAATTGGAAACCTTTGAGTTAGATAATCTCACAGTGATTGAGAACCCAGAAATTTGTAGCCCATCTAGTAACTTTGTCATATAGTCATATCTCCCTCTGCTGGTAGAATTTGTTTTTGCAAGGTAAACAAATACTGATTTACTTACATGTGAAAATTTGTAGGCCCCAACCCCACCCCACCCCCCAACCCCAGTGGGTTACTGAACAACCAACTCCGCCTTCTTAACATAGTCTCACGCTGACTGTTACTGAGACCATACCAGAAGAAGATGCTGGTATGGGAATCCCCTGGGAAAAAAGAACTTTCATCGTCAAAGGAAATGCAGCAAAGGGAGCTTCTTCCTCCCTCTAAGGAGATGATGAGTCTGGACTCCTAGGAAACTCATTTAAACCAGAACTAATAAGCAACTGTTCTGCCATCTTCACAGTAGCTCTCTCAGTGACAAAGAGGAAAGACCCCCAGGGTTTCAGTTTAGGAGTCTGAAGACTGACTATGCCACTTGGTGACTGAGTTTCCTTCCTTAGTTACTTGATTAGCCTGAAGCTTAGAGCCCTCACAATATGGGGATATTAATATTTTCTCTTTTTCTAGGGGATTGATGTGAGGGTAAACTGAGTAATGTATATGATCATACTCTATTAACTGAAAATCACCCTACAAATATGAGTTTATTACCGTCACTTCTTTGTCTTGCCTCCACATTTTCTTGTCTTGAACTCTCATTCATTTGCTTAGCAACTGATATTGATTACTTAAAAAAAATTTTTGTCAACACCAGGTCTTAATTGCAGCACACAGGATCTTCAATCTTAGTTGTGGCATGTGGGATGTAGTTCCCTGAACAAGGATTGAACCCAGATCTCCTGCATTGGGAGAACAGAGTCTTAGCCACTGGACCACCTGGGACATCCCAGACAAGTGTTTTTTAAAAAATATTTTATAGAGAATGAATGGGTAGAAGTAAGAATAGACCTAAGGAGACCAGACTGGACACTCCCGTGGGAAGCCAGGCCAGTGAAAATGATGGCTTGGGTCATGATATTGGCTGTGAAAAGGGAGAAGAAGTTGATAGATCTGAGAAATATTTAGGAAGTTGAGTTGATAGAATCTGGCATTTGAACAGATGTGTTGAGGGTAGGGGAAGAGCTGTTTATAGATCTAGGGACATTCTTGGAGGAGCAAGTGTGGAGGGGAGAATGATGAGTTTGGTGTTCACAGTACAACTTCAGGTACTTGGACCATCCAAGTGGCTGCATGTATGAGAGAACTGGATATATAAAGTGGAGAATAGAGAAGTCTGGACTGGTAGAAATTTAGGAATCATTTAAACACAGAGTGAAGCCATAAGCTATAGTGATCACTAGAGGGTAGCATTGGAAGGAAAAGAAGACTTAGGACCAAGCTTTAGGAAACTCCAACATTGAATGTTGGGGTTGAAAGAGGTCAGTTGGTTAAGGACTGCCAAAAAAGGGAGACACAGAATGTGAACAACCTTACATGCAAAGGACAAAAGGAAGGAAAACTACTATTTCATGAATATCTTCTATGTCCTGGGAGTTTTTACATACATTATCTGACTTTATTCTCATGTAAACCCTGTGAGTCAGTAAGCGTTCCTATCTTCACTTTTCCCACTGAGAAAACAGATGTTCAGAGAGGTTGAATAATTCACTTAGGGCCACACAACTTGTAAGCAATAGCCTCCAGTGTCCCTCCCATGTGGGAGGATCTGGGCAAGTGCCTTGTCAGGTGGTGACATTCGGTGGGGAGGACAGGGCTGGAACCCCCTTTATTCAGCACTCTAGTGCCAAGGGGGTAAGCCAAAGCAGAGAAAGGGTAGTCCAAAAACCACAGCCAAGTGCAACAAGGAAACAGTTCAAGAGCCAAATGGTCCATTCAGAAGTCAGGTTGCCAAAGCCAAAACCTCACCCAGTAATTGGTTCAAAAGCCAAGTTAATCCCAAGCAGTAGAACTTGGTCAAAGAGAGGGCTGAGGAAGTCAGGGAACTTCAGAAGTAGGGAAGCCACCAGCTAAGCTTCAAGTTGAGCGAGCATTTGGGTACCAGGGATTTGAAGATGGGAAGGAGGTGAGGAGACAGGTTTTGTAGAATTGAAGAGCTGAGCAGACAGAAAATAACATGACTGGAAATGTTTTGTGGAAAGATTCTTCTGGTAACTCTGTGAAGAAGGGCCTCAAGATGGGAGAATAAGGACAAGTCAGACCCAATGCATAGATTCAACTCCCCTCTGCAGAATGGAACAGGAGTAGGACACTGGCTTGGTCCCTGGAGTTGAGAAATTATACTTGATTTGTATCCTAGGGGAAAAAAAAATATGACAGTCAGAAAGTGGAATGCAGAAGGTAGACCTGGTCTGTCCAGAAAACTTAAGGAAGCAGAACTGTTAGGCAAGCCAAGCCAGGACACATGTATGTCGTAAGGGCTTTCTTAAAAACGAGTCTTCTCATTGGTATAGTACTTTATGATCAGGAGTAGCATTTGAACCTCACAACCACTTTAAAACCAATGGCTTTAAATAGATGAGGAAACTAAGGCTAGGGCAAGGTAAACTGTGTGCCAAAATTCACACAGTTGGGTGGAGATCAGAACTGTAGCTCGAGTCCAGGTTTTGTTCTATGCAAATTGTGTCTCTCTCTCTAAAAGAAAAGAGATTGGTCAGGGAAGGCTTCACAGAGGAGGCAAGGGCAGGGCACCAAGTACAGAAGAGTTATTACAAAGGCACAAGGATGCAGCATGGAACAGCCAGAAAGTAACAAAACCTGGTTTTCAGTATTATAAGTGCCTGAGGACAAGAAGGTCCAGTTCCTAGAATGAGGCCTGGGGTTTACCAGGCGCTTGTTGTTGTTCAGTCACCCAGTTATGTTCAGCTCTTTGCAACCCCATGAACTGCAGCATGCCAGGCCTCCCTGTGCCTCACCATCTCCCAGAGTTTGCCCAAGTTCATGTCCATTGCATCAGGGATGCCATACAGCCATCTCATCCTCTGATGCCCTCTTCTCCTTCTGCCCTCAATCTTTTCCAGCATCAGGGACTTTTCCAATGAGTCAGCTGTTTGCATCAGGTGATCAAACTACTGGAGCTTCAGCATCAGTCCTTCCAATGAGTATTCAGGATTGATTTCCTTGAAGACTGACTGGTTTGAACTCCTTTCTGTCGAAAGAACTCTTAGGAATCTTCCCCAGCACCACAGTTAGAAGGCATCAATTCTTTGGTGCTCTGCCTTCTTTATGGTCCAGCTCTCACAACCAAATGTGACCACTGGGAAGACCACAGCCTTGACTATACGGACATTTGTTAGCAGAGTGATGTCTCTGCTTTTCTGTTCAAAGGAATGAATGTGTAGAACACAGGTTCTCTCTAGGGGAGTAGCTGGAAGTGAGTCTGGGAAGTGGCAGGAGTCAGAAGATGGAGAGGCTTTTATACAATATGGAAGGCTGGTGTTGGATGAGGGGAGGGGACCAGAGTGCATGTGCAGAAAGGATGCTAAGAGAGAATCAGCTGGAAGGTGGTTCCAGGAGAGAGAAAAGGAAGGCCAGAAGTAAACCAGAGCAGGGAGGAAAAGACGGTCAAGAAGCGTTTCTGCGTTAGAATGCCTGGCAACACCCTGAAGGGGAGGGGGTGACATGTAGGGGTCTGCAGGCAGAAAGGCAGGAGCAGAAGAGAGAGAGAGGATGCTGGCTGTGGAGGAAACAGGTGTGGGCAGTGGATACCCCGCATCCTCCCGCAGCTAGGCTGCAACCTCAACAGTCACTCCTGAGGCTGCAGACCAGAGAGGGAGGGGCCTCTCGGACTGGAGAAGTCATTAGCAACCTGCCAGAACCGGGTTAACAAAGGCAGGACTACAACTCCCAGCATGCCCCGCCCCAGTGGGGTGACGGCGGGCGGTGGCTGCGCTGCACCCGCCTGGTGGGCGCAGGACCTAGGTCGGCACCGGAGCCTGTCATTCCGGAGCGGAGGTGGTCTGCGTGGCGGGGGGGCGGTGCGGGCGGGCGATGCACCCGGGTCCCCAGCGCACTGGCCACGCCTGGCTCGCGTCTCCCGCCCCGCGGCCCCGCCCCTTGCCCCACCCCAGCCGGGCGGTTTAGCTGGGGCCGCAGCGCGGCGGCAACATCACTCTCGCCGCGGCTGCTCCGCCCCATCCCCTTCTGTTTTTCTCTCATTCTCCGGTGGCGACGGCGGGGAAGGCGGAGGCTGAGGCTGCAGCAGCCGCGCTGGCTGCAATGAATGATCCCCCAGCTGGGGGAGAGGACTCCAGGTGAGCCTCTGCCCTTGGGAGGCCCGGGCCCCCCGGCCCCCCAGAACCTGCAGCACCCCCCCCACCCCCCGCCATGGATCCCTAGAGGAGGAGGAGGAGGAGAAGAGAAGACAGCTCTGCCGCCCACCCCCATCCCATTTTCCTCTTCCTTTATCTCATTGTTGCCGTCGCTGTTTACGGCAGCGCTCCCTCTGCCCCAGCATGGGGCGGGCTCTGGGTACTGCCGTTCGGCAGGCGCTGCTCCCGCGGCTGCCCGGCGATTCTGCCTAATTCTCCCTCCGCAGCCGGTGCAGCGAGGACCGGAGAGCGGTGGAGGCCCGGACTGCAGTAGCGGCGGGGCCAGCTCCCAGCATCTCCACCCTAGGAGGCTGCATGCTGATTGAAGAACGGTGCCTGGGGGCTGGGCCGGCCCCGCTGATCCCGACCTAGGGAGGACAGCAGGACTACCCAGGCTGCGGAGGGGGGCCGGGGGTGAGGGGTGTGCAGGAAGGACAGAGCAGCAAGATGGCCAGTAAAACCAAGGCCAGCGAGGCCCTGAAGGTGGTGGCCCGGTGCCGCCCCCTCAGCCGGAAGGAGGAGGCTGCTGGTCACGAGCAGATCCTGACCATGGACGTGAAACTAGGCCAGGTGACCCTGCGGAACCCCCGCGCTGCCCTGGGGGAGCTGCCCAAGACCTTCACCTTCGATGCCGTGTATGATGCCAGCTCCAAGCAGGCAGACTTGTATGATGAAACCGTGAGGCCCCTGGTAGACTCGGTGCTTCAAGGTTTCAACGGCACCGTCTTTGCCTATGGACAGACAGGCACGGGCAAGACTTACACCATGCAGGGGACCTGGGTGGAGCCCGAGCTCCGCGGGGTCATCCCCAATGCCTTTGAGCATATCTTCACCCACATCTCTCGCTCCCAGAACCAGCAGTACTTGGTCCGGGCCTCCTACCTGGAGATCTACCAGGAGGAGATTCGAGACCTGCTCTCCAAGGAGCCAGGCAAGAGGCTCGAGCTGAAGGAAAACCCTGAGACAGGCGTCTACATCAAGGACCTGTCCTCCTTCGTCACCAAGAATGTCAAGGAGATAGAGCATGTGATGAACCTGGGGAACCAGACCCGGGCGGTAGGCAGCACACATATGAATGAGGTCAGCTCCCGCTCCCATGCCATCTTTGTCATCACCGTGGAGTGCAGTGAGCGTGGCTCAGACGGCCAGGACCACATCCGTGTGGGCAAGCTCAACCTGGTGGACTTGGCCGGTAGCGAGAGGCAGAACAAAGCAGGCCCCAACACCGCTGGAGGGACCGCCACACAGCCCACTGGTGGTGGCGGTGGTGGAGGGGGTGGTGGCAGTGGTGGAGAGAGGCCGAAGGAAGCCTCCAAAATCAACCTGTCGCTGTCTGCCCTGGGCAACGTGATCGCTGCTCTCTCGGGTAACAGGAGCACCCACATCCCCTACCGGGACTCCAAGCTGACCCGGTTGCTCCAGGACTCTCTGGGGGGAAATGCCAAGACCATCATGGTGGCCACCCTGGGGCCAGCCTCTCACAGCTATGACGAGAGCCTCTCCACCCTGCGCTTCGCCAACCGGGCCAAGAACATCAAGAACAAGCCCCGGGTGAACGAGGACCCCAAGGACACACTGCTGCGGGAATTCCAGGAGGAGATTGCCCGCCTGAAGGCCCAGCTGGAGAAGAAGGGGATGCTGGGAAAGCGACTCCGCAGGAAGAGCAGCCGCAGGAAGAAGGCCGTGTCAGCCCCGGCCGGGTACCCGGAGGGACCGGTGATCGAGGCCTGGGTGGCCGAAGAGGAGGATGATAACAACAACAACCACCGCCCGCCCCAGCCCATCTTGGAGACAGCCTTGGACAAGAACATGGAGAATTACCTGCAGGAGCAGAAGGAGCGGCTAGAGGAGGAGAAGGCGGCCATCCAGGACGACCGCAGTCTGGTGAGCGAGGAGAAGCAAAAGCTGCTGGAGGAGAAGGAGAAGATGCTGGAAGACCTGCGGCGGGAGCAGGAAGCCACAGAGCTGCTCGCCGCCAAGTACAAGGTAAGAGTCCCCAAGGGAGCAGGGGCTCTCCAGAGGCCCCCAGAGGGATCTGGGCTGGCAGGCTTTGCTTTGAGGATCTGTGATCTGGCCTGAAGCTAAGTGTCCTGCCCTTCTGCCACGTGCTCCCCTGGAGAAGCCAGGCAGATTTCTGTGGCTCTGGGCTGCCAGGCAGAGCTGCTGAGGAACACCTAAGAGGAAACACACACTCGCACACAGAGCAAAAGCAGGCAGGCAGTCTCGAGCCAGTGAGCTTGGGCTGGCTTGACCTGCGCCTGGCAGTCTCTGCTGGTGGCCCCCAGAACCGGTCAGGTCCATGGACAGCCAGGCAGGTGTTCGGCCTCATTTCGGTGCGGGTCCTCACTCTTGCTTAGCCGCCCCCCTTGTGATGTCTTCCCTTTGCAGCACCATCAGACCTCACGCTGCTTGAATACCTGACATTTGTATAACACTTCACAGCTTCCATAACTGTGTACATGCTCTCATTTGATCCTCACGGTAGCTATCCGGGGTCCTGGTTGCTAAACCCCCATTTTTACAGGTGAGGGGCTAAGGCTCAGAAAAGTGACATGAGGTTCCATCCTACAAAGTAGCAGAGCCGAGCTGGAACCATTGGCCCTTAGGCCCTTTCAAATCTTGAATGGCAAGGCGGGACTATGAATGGGTCCTGCTCCCCGTGAAGGAAGTCCAGCAGTCCACAGGGCCTGTTGCTTGGAATCTTAGGAAGGAGATCATGCAGAGGGTAGGAGAGTGCCTCTGCCTCTACACTGGAAACCTGGAGTCTAGGGCTAGATGTACTATAGCTCATTGTGTGACCCTGTGTTCATTGTGTCTTCCTTTCCTCAAGCTTCAGTTTCCCTTTTTGTAAAATAGAGGGTTGGCTTGGGTGATCTCTGAGGTTCTTCTAATCTGAGCAGCAAACCAAGCTAGCTCTTACACCCAGGCCTCATCCCAGTAAGACCCAATTCCCCATCGCCCTGAGAGACCTCAGGGCCTCAGCGTTCCCCCAGCCCCAGGGACACCTCCATGCTCCGGTGGAGCTAAGCTGCAGAGGTCCCCCTGCCTGGCTGGCCACCGACCTGTTAAATTTTGCTGTCACAGATGCCAGGAGTCCCTGTCCCAGGTGTTTCCAGGTCCATAGAGTCCTTAACACTGAGGACTGGAGGAAGGATGCAGGGAACCATGAGCTGATGTCTTGCTGGCGAGAGCAAAGCACTGTTGTTCTTAGTCCCTCTCAGGAGTGTGGGCTGGGGCTCAGGGAAGCACCGCCTGGGAGGGAGCGTGGCAGCAGCTGGAGGAGGGGCAGTTGAGCTGCACACCATTGTCTGTGTTGTGAGAATGCGCTGCTGCACCCGGGGGGTTCTGGCCTTGCTTCTTTAATATTTAATTCACCACCAGGAGCTCAGTGAGGGTTATGCTGAGCCTCTTCCTCAAAGAAAGGATCAGGGGCCTGGCACATTTGGGGCCCTCCTGGAAGAAGCAGGATGTAAAAGGCAGGATAGTTAGACTCAGCTCTCCCAGGAGGAAGGAAATCTGGGCAGTCTAGTGCTTTCCACTGGGAAATCTTACAGGGGTGATGTGTCATCAGTCTCATTACCAAGAGCCTCACCACTACCCATTGCTCTCCACCTCCACCCATCCTTAAAGCCAGGGGGCAAAAGAGGCTAAAAGGGTGCTCTTTGGCCCTGAGGAAATGAGTAGAAGGGATGGAGCAAAGGATCCACTGGGATCCTTTCCACTGGGAACAATGGATCTCCCATTGCTGGCTACTCCCTGGCTCCCTCCTTAAGATTCTTCGAGCACAGATAATGGGGCAGTCAAGAGATCAGTGGCCAGTGCCAGAATTCTTGGCGTAGAGGCATAGCCCACTGAATCCCCCTTCTTACAACTGCCAGAGGCCTTGGGAAACTGAGGCCCAGACTTGCCTAGGGCCACACAGGTGAGCCAGACTCTTTTACTTGGTCCAGCTTCTTTCTATTACACTAGAGTCCTGCTGTTGTTACCTTGCTACTTGATAATCAGAGTAGTTCATTTTTATGTAACTCTCATATTTTGATCTCATGGAATCCTCACAGCAACCTCCAGAGATGAGTATTGCTATTTCCATTTGACAGTGATGAAAACCAAGGCTGGTCATGGTCTCAGTGACCTGAATTGATAGGTGGCAAAGTCAGGACTGGAACCCAGGTCTATGCTGTGCTGTTTCCAAGTCTTCATGAATCCCTCCATGTGTTCTCTGCATGACTCGTGACGAAGGCCTTTGCCTCTCTAGGCCTCGGGTTTCCATTTGCCTAATGAAGGGAAGTCTGACGCAGCTCCTTGGAGACTGGGTGACATGGTCATTATGTGCCAGGTTTTCAGATATAAGCAAAGGGGGAGGGGCGTCTGGGAAATTCCAGGAGAGGAATGATTCCACATCCTGTGACTTCTTGTCACACCCAGCCCAGGACCAACAGCAGCCAGCAAGCCCAGAAGGGAGCCTGGACAGAGGACCCCAGTCTCCCTAAGGCACTGCTGGTTCAGAGTTGGCTGTAGGATGGAGGAAACAATTTGAGGGCTCTTGAGGGATCCACTGGGTATTGAGGGGAAGAGCATGGTAGAAATAATCCCAGGTCTGCCTGGTTCACAGGGTTGTGCTGAAGATGAAGTGAGATCATTAGTGTGAGGGCATTTGAAATAAGTTGAAAGCACTAAATAAGTGGAGGGCATTAGCAGCCACTGGGGGGCTTCTGTTTGCCAAGCAGGGGTCCAGTGATCTCCAGGACTGACATCTTTGTTTCTGGCTTAAGGCTTTCTTTCCCCTGCCATCTCAGCTGCCTTGCCATAAACCTGCAGCTGTGGGAGCAAGCCAGGCAAGAAGGATCTAGGAGCCCTCAGACGGCGGGAGCTCGGGTCCCTCCTGCAAATGAGTTTCTGTTCCCCATGTTCGACACACTCTAGCTCCCGCTTTCTGAGTTATGACATCAGCTCCCCTTCTCATCCCCCACCACCAATTCCCTTCTTCAAGTTCACACCGCCCCTGGGGGCAGTTGAGCAGTAGCTGATGCGACCCAGTGCCCTCATTCATTCTCTCTGACTCATCTTACAGTCTGTCTCACCCGTTTTTCCTGCCCACCACTTCTAGGGTCGTCATTCCCTTTGTTCTCCCCTCACTGTGTACAAACACCATGCCTATCTCCTAGGAGTCTCCTTTCATCTCCTCTCATATTTACCTCGAGCCTTAGGGGGTTCGAGGTGTGCAAAGGTGTGAGGGTTTGTGATTGTCCTCAGCGCCCTGTTTCTGGGTAGTCATTAGCCATCCACACTTCTGCCGTGTCTCTGGGGGGCTTGAGAGCGTACCCGACCTGAGAGGTAGGGGGAGTTGGTCAAGCCACAGGCCAGATCCATGGCTGAGGTTACAGCTCTGCACGATGGCAATTCCAGTGTTTGTGCACAGTGCATAGTCTCATGGCCGTGAGAATGCAATGTGTGTGGGTGGGTCGAGAGAGAAAGCCCACTTTCATTGTGCAAGGAACATGTTTTAATGACTGTTTTCATTTTGAGCTTAATTTTTTGAGGGCTTGGACTGGATGATTTCTAAAGCTTTGGTTCTAGATCTTTAGAGGGAAAGAACGGTGTGTAGGGGAGGCAAGGGCTGCAGATGATACAAAATGCAGGCTTGAAATGAAGAGAGGCCTGGAAGAGGTAGACACAACACACTGCTTGTTGATCCCCACGTAAGTAGGTCTGGAGGGAGTGGAGGGAGGGGGCTACTTGGCTAGAGCCCAGCTCTCTCTGTAGTGGGTATGGGAAAGAGACCCTGCAGAAGCCGCCCCTGAAGCCAGAGGGATGAGATCACTACAGAGAGTACAGACTGCATGAATTTTCATTGTCTTTCTGTTGGTCCCTCTTCTTCCTCCCACTTCTCAGCATTGGGGTTCACCGTAAATAGTTTTGTAAAAGAAGGAGTCTGAAGCTCGAGAAACATCAGTAATAGCAAGAATCATGCCATTTACATAGCACTTATCATGTGCCAAACCCTATACTATATATTGTATCCAGATTATCTCATGTAATCCCCCCAGACACCTTCCAAGAAGGTGTTATTACTGTTTCCCTTCTATACTTGAGATAACCGAGATTTTGTGACTTGCCCAAGGCCTCGTGGTTTGTATATGGCAAATCTAATTGAGTCCAGGTCAGTTTGACACAAAGTGTGATCCGCTCTTGTGCTTAAAGAATTATGAATACCAGGACTGATTGCTGGGGAGGTGGTGAAAAATGACAGGAGTGGGTGTAAATGTGTTGAATTTGAGGTAACAGAGTCCAGTGAACAGCGGGAGATGGAGAAGGGGAGGTTTGGTGTTTTTTAGATTTTTTTGTTATGGATCATTTTTTAAAAGTCTTCATTGAATTTTTTACAATATTGTTTCTGTTTTATGTTTTGGTTTTTTGGCCACAAGGTATATGGGAATCTTAGCTCCCCAACCAGGAATCAAACCCACACCCCACGCATTGGAAGGCAGAGTCTTAACTACTGGACCACCGGGGAGGTCCCAACAGGGGAGTTTAAAAGCACGCACAGGACTGGAGATGGAGCTGAGGGGCTCATCTGTAGAAGAGGGCTCAAATGAGACCCCTGGCCCTCTGTTCTTGACCCTCCTTCCCTTAATGTAAGTGACTCCCAAATCAAGATCTCCTGGCTGGGTCTTTGCTGACCTTTTTTCGTAGAATGCTGTATTCAGAGGTGATATCAGAGTCAGGCAGGCCTGATTTACCAGTTCTGAGATCTCAGTTTCCTCCTCTGTAAAGTGGGATAATCGTAGTACCTATGTCATAGTGCTCTTGAGAAGGTGATAATCAACATTAAAGCACTTTGCACAGTTCCTGGCATGTAAGCGTTCATAAATAATAGCTTCATTACTGTTATCTTCTATTACCTAATGGATGTCTTCACTTGGCTATCTTTCTGATATGTTAAACACATCACATTTTAGTTTGGCATTCAAGACCTTCCAGAGCTT